CTTTTTCTCTCGAATTTTTCCATCTCTGACGTCGACACTTCAAGACGCGCGCGCCTCGACCTGACGTTAAACATTGTATATATTTCACGGGTTACAACCAGCATATATGTACGTCTTCCTATAACTCTCTTAACAGCCGTAGTACGACAGAGTCAGCTCTCCTAGGGCGAATGCCGAACGGAATCCTCGGGCGTGTTGGAGCACATCGGCTAAAGTGGGTCATCGCGGCGGAGCGGAGCGCGCGGTGTCTCCGATGTACATCGTCAATCGCTCGTTTACAACCATTCCCGAAGCGACCGTACGCTTTGTGCACCAAAGTGTACCGTGTGCGCGGCCAACGTGCCCGGATTGTATTTACGTATGTGGTAAACCGTCGCAGAATATCGTCGTCGTAATGTTGCACGGGTTGCACGTGACTGAGTAAACTAATTCGACCAGTTCGTCCTGCATCTATAGTTCGTCCTCCCTTCCTTCTGCCACGGAACTTTCGGCGGAAATATCTCGGTAAAAGCGTCGCGAGAGAGATCTCCGTATTGTCGTGTACATTCCGGATCTCTCGCGATTCGAGTGAACTTGCGTCCGCGGATCTCTAGAATAAAATTCGAGCTGACGACATTTTCTCTCTCGACAAAAAGTCAGAAATACATCATTTCCGTTAGCGAACGGTACATGAAAGAAATGATGTTGTATCAGCAGCGTAAAACAACGAACGTTTCGACCATCAACTGGATCATTTTCGATGTTAAATAAATAAATTCTAATGACAAATTCGAATTATTTCTGAAAAACGTTTAACGATAAAGACACATATTTAAATTATACTGATTGAAATTAACAGACGCGTCTAACTTTTTCGTTAAACGTTTTTTTTTTTTTTAGAAATAATTAGTGTGTATTTCAATCACTCTGTAGCTGAGAAATTAAAAATAATATTTATTTTGTTTGAACGGAAATTGTCAAATTTATACAAAAATACTATTGGGCGCCAAGACCCACTTTTATCCGTCCTTTATACTCATTTATGTGAAAAAATTATCATTGTTAATTCAATAGTAGTGAACAAACAACATTTTATCAAAACAAGAGCATAGCGCATTTGTTTCATTAATATTATCATTGAATTAACAAGATTATTTTCAACACAGACGAGTGTGAGGAGGCCGATAAAAGCGGGTCTTGCTGTCTAATAATATTTTTCTACAAGTTTTACAATTTTCAGTTCAAATCAAATAAATATCATTGTCAATTAATTAGATTCCTATCTAATGCTGTTGATACAACATTGTTTACCGCGTACTCAAGGCACGTGGTGCAATTTTATACGCATGCTTTCGCTGGCCTAATAATTACGTCGCTCGCCTAGCAGAAGTCTAAACGTACTTGAGTTGTACAATATCTAATATACTGTCCATTACCTCTGGCACTTGACAAAATATGATCTCTCCAGCGAAAACTGGTATCATTTCTTTTCCCTTGGACTTCTACCAACTGAATGCGTTAGGTAACCCACTGCATCTTGCGAAATCACAACGAGTACGCTGTATCGGACTACAGTTAATGGACAAAATGCGACAGGAACTGGTTAATCAAACAGCAAACAACCGCGCCCGTGCGTCTCATTATGCGGCAGGCTTTCCATGCATC